GTTGATCATGTCAATCGTCCGAATTGCGTCTATTTCCTTAGCTGAACATCAATGATAGGGGACAAACAGCAAAGATAAGTGCATATAAATTAGATGGGAATGATTAAGGCTTGCTTCAAGATGGGCATACTATCAAAATTCACACAAATTGGCCTGCTTTATCAAATCCCGAAATCCCGGGATTTTTCAAAACTTAAATCCCGGGATCGGGATCAGAACTGTAATCCCGGGATCTCGGTATCCCATGCAAACCCTAGTGCTGACAACTTTGTGGTTGTTCGTTCATTGCTCAAGCTCTGATCACGAAGTTATCACTGTGTTGGAATGAAGGCATCAGTAGGAGTTTTTCAGTCGGCTCGACGTGGGATATGGTCTAGAAATGGCCTGAATTTTGAGGCGGATTTTTATTTCTTCTTCCTTCTATCTTGCATCTTTCCTTTCCTCTTCCCTTTCCCACATCCTTCTCCCTTCCTTCTCTTTTCCACTCTTTTCCTCTTCTTTTTCACTTTTCATCCAACCCTCCAGAAGGGAGCTGACATGGCACCTGCGCCTCCCTCTTTGGGTACGCCACCGAGAAGCAATTACTATTATTTACTATTATTGTTAGTTTTGTTGTTATTATGGTTGTTTTTTACCATTTTCAAATCATTATTGCTTTTATTCATGACTACCGTAATTGTTCTCAACACTGCAACTATAATTATTTTTATTATGGTTTTTGGTGTTGACGTTTTGCTGATACAGTTACGAACATTTTTTGCTTTGACGATCATTACTATACTTATTAATATTGATTGTGATTCGTATATTCTCTCGCTGCAAAGTGATTCATTTGAATAGTCTTTTCTTGTGATATGACCTATTCCAACTATTTTTATTTCTCTTCCTTCTATCTTCTTTTTATCAGTTTCATCAATTTAGGTCAAGCTCCAAGGTGAGGAATCAATGCCAGCTTCACTGCTAATTCAAGACGGAACTTCATCAACTGAAACGCAAGGCAAAACATTCTTTCTTGTTTTAACGTTTACTCAGTAGCTGTGGTTCGAATTTTTCTGTGGATAACAACGCACACATTCGTCAGAAATTACGTGAATGATGNATGATGGATAAGCAATAATTCATTTGAAATTTGTTAACTTATCCGATCAAAATGTGTAAAAAGACCGTATTTCTTGTCCTAATGCCGATTCTGTTGACGTTTATACACAGAAGTATGGGTGCTAAACGATGCATCCTTTCCAGTGCTGAACTTAGAAAATAAGTTGAAAATTCTTTGTTCCTTCGGTGTCGGCACTGAGTAGGAACACACTTCACCAAAAAATCGCTGAATGTAATTTTTTGGCGATGATCACACTTAAATGATCAGCTGACTCGAATAAACTTTAGCTGCAAACTTTCGTGTGATCTTGCATTGTCCGCTCTTTCGCTGCGATGAACTTTATTGGCATTCTCTCTATGATACGAATTCCAATTCGGAGTGAACAAACCCAAACCCTTTCATTATGCCTTTTGGGTAACTACACTCGCGCGCGTGTGCCATTTGCGCTTTGAACTATTGTCATGCGTGCTTTGGGCCACGCCCATTGTGTTACGCGTTACTCATCACTCCTAACGAGTGGTGGTGGCTCAGATGATTTTGATTTTTTATTTATGAATGTCGTCCACTTCCACACGATTTTGGGAGGACGCTTAGGCTTAGGCCATCGTTGTTTAGCCGGGTGATGAGGTTAACGCGCACTGGCCTTAGCTCAGCAATGAGGTTAACGCATGGATTTCGGCTTCAATTCGTCAACCTCAAGCATACTCATCATCGTGAAGCGTGATCGGTGACATGCGCGAGTAACTTAACTGATTTTGAAAATTTATTCTACGACTATCGGAGTACGCTTAAGCTTACGATTAGGCCATTGCTTAGCGCAGTGATGAAGCTAACGCTTCTCTGTATTGTTCTTTTCTCTGCTGTTGCTTTCCCCCAACCACTCGCCCATCACGTTCAACATCGTTCTACTCAAACATCAATGACATACAATTCGGAGTCAACGTATCAGGTAAAGCTTTTAATTACCCAAGCGATGAGGCTCAAGTGCGGACTTAGGACGTGCGAAGACGTGCACTGGGCGTTTCTACGCAAGCGCGCGTACGCGTTGGCGCTTGCGTCCGGGTGTAGTTACTAGACTGCACTAGCACAGAGATTTTTGAGATCTGTGTTGGAGCTCAATGTTCATGCAGATGTCTTGGAGAGTACACCTGAGGTGGAAAATGCATATTTTTGAGAGGACAGAGGACTGTAACTGGCATTATTACATTCCAGTTCTGTAAATGTTTTTTTTTTTGAAGTTTATGATTACTTTCCCTGACGACTTGATATTGTTGCGTGCCATATTTTTTGCCCGATTAAAATCTGATTCGTTGCATGAGGAGTTTGGTGGTTTGATTGAACGATCTTGGAAAATACTGATGAAAGTGTTAATTTAATTGGACTTTGAACGTGTTTTGTTTGTTGATTTTATTAACTGTAACAATTGTTGGGAGTGTAGAATTGTCAGATCGAAGCCAACCAGCCGGACTAAGACTTGCGGAATCTGGGCGAGGCAGGAAGTGTTGGGCTTAAAATCGTCAACTCAAATCAGGCTCAGCGTGGTTCGAGTTGACGATTTTAAGCGTTTGCATATTACACTTACTTGTATTCCTACTTTGGCTCGACAATTCTTGGCCCGGTCCAGGAAATCACAGCCTTGACCGTGAATCTTGGCCCGGCCTGGCAAATATTGGTCCAAGCCCGGCAGTTCAACACTCCCACAATAGTTACAATATATCTTATTGCAATCATCTCATTGATAGTTTTTTTTACCTTGCTTACTTCATGAGAAAGGCTTCGCGTAAATGGCACATATGATTGTTAAGTTATTTGATTGCTCATTTAGTGATGGTTTGATGTCAATAAATTTTACTCTTTAGGAGTTATTCCTAAGTGGGTGACAAGATGGCATCGTGTGAAGATGAGGTGATGCGTATTGGGAAGAAGTTCGAGAAAATGATCCAAGGAACCAAATCCGTTAGTTTATTGTTTTTGGATGGTCAGGGTTCTCATTTAAGAAATGCGGATGGTCACTATCAGTTTTGATATCTATATAGTTGTTAAAAGTATGTGTCGCAGATTCGTTTAACGTGTTTCGAATATTTGAGTTTTGCTTTCTTAGTCCACAATGCATCTTGGTGTCCGGTTGTTTCACAATAATTGTTATAAATTACAGATGGATAATGCTCTCGAGCTTCTCGACGCCCTTTCTGCCCTACCAGTCAACATTAATGTTCTCACCGTATGTTCTTATCTCCTTAAAAATTCTCGATCCATCTATTTCATGTTATATTCTCTATTCCGTGAAATGTAACTGCTGTAAAAAGCTTATATCACGAATCCTCCACCTCACCTCATCACCTCAAATCGACGGATGTTGGCTGTCGATCATTTTGCCTGATCGGCATTGAATTTAGTAGTTATTATTTATTTTCCTTTTTTGAATACGTTCAAATATACCTTCGCATATAATTGTGTGAATATTACCTTTTTCGGGTTACCGCTAGATGTCGTCAAGCGAGAAAACTACATCCTAGGTTATTTTCATTTCATTTAGAAAACCCGTATTGGTATGACTATCAATGACTTAAGGAAGAAAACAAGCGATGAAAATGTCTCGAAGCGAGCTAAAAGCCTTATTAAGGTAGGAATTTTCATTTCATTATTTTCTTTTATCCTGTTTTATAGTATCGCTCTCTCACAATCTACTTTCACGTTGGTTTCATATTGAGTTGAAGTCAGATTGAAAATTGATTTACTATGTTGGTTGCATCGCGTGAAGAAAGGCATTTTCTTGCACTAAATTCAGTGTTTAGGAATGGAAGAGTCTGCTTGAGAACAAGAATCACAAAGGGAACGGTATTGCGAGGGATGTGATGCCACGCACAGATTCCGCTTCATCGAATCTCTCTGAGGATAGTGGATCACGATCAGCCACCTCTCATTCAACTCCTTCGACAACAGTCAAAAATCCCACTCCTCCTCGTCCGGCGCCCGCAAGGTTGTTCTCAGGCGACGAGGTTATCTTCTTTTCTTTTCAATCCATTTCTGTCATTGTCCTGGAAGTAGTTCACTAAGGTTGAACGAATTCCGTGTAAGGGTTGTGATGGCCATGCACCGGTTTAATTTTTCTGTGATATTCAAGTGGAGAGAATTTACAGACGCGTAACAAATGCACGGAAATGATTCTGAACGCGTTGAGATCGCGAGAGTTACCAGATGGAACGTTAGATCCAGAGGATTTAGCCATCAGAGTTGAAAAGAAGCTCTTTGAAGTGAGTATTTCATTTTACTGCGGTTTTGTTTTCACGATATTGATTGGGACGACGACGAGTTCAGTAGAGCATGAACTGATCGATGACCTTTATCTGTATAAGTAAAATTCATTTAGACCCATCGTGGAACTGGAAATACCTATAAAGCTGCTCTTCGAAGCCGTGTTTTCAATTTACGGGATAAAAAGAACACTGCATTACGAGACAACGTCCTTACGGGTGTTGTATCTCCCGAAAAGTAGTAATTTCGTTCTTTTATTACTGATTCTCGTTTTAAAAAAATGTAGCATACATTTAATTGAAGGATAATTTGAATTGTCAGCTTCTGTTTGGATCCCTCGTCAAACGTTTTTCCAGTTCATGTGTGCTTTTTGTGTTCATCCCCTTTATTTTTTACTTCGTTGAATTACATTTTTAATTGTTTCAGGTTCGCATTGATGACAAGTGAGGAGATGGCATCCGATGAAATGAAAAGTCAACGAGAAAAGTTTACCAAACAGGTATTCATTTGAATGTTTTTGAAAAATATCAATTTTATACATTTGTGTACATTTCATTGATAGGTTTCCGTGATGTTTTTTGAATTCGTCATCCTCAGGCAATCGACGAGCACCAAATGGCCGTGCAAGAAGGAACGCCATCAGATATGTTCAAGTGTGGTAAGTGTGGTAAGAAGAATTGCACTTATCATCAAGTGCAGACTCGAAGCGCTGATGAGCCGATGACAACGTTTGTGTTTTGTCGTGAGTGTGGTAATAGATGGAAGTTTTGCTAGATTGCTTTATGATATGTTTGGAGTGGGGCGAAATTTATACTATGTACCGATCGTATCATTGTATCCTGTGAATTGGAGTTTTTCTCTCAACTCATCGATAATCGCGTTGATATAGTGGCGAGATTGAACTGTAGAAGGTTACAGATGATGGTGGGATGGAAGGGAGAGGAGGGAGGGAATGAAACGTGTTTCAGTGCTGTCAAAATCAATTGAATTGGTTTTCTGGATCAAATTGTGTTTGTTACGTTTATTATTGCCTTATGATTAACACGATTCTATTCATAATAAAGTCGATCAAATGTTTTGATCGCTGGTCAGATGTCAATTGATTATGACTGCGGTAGTTTTGAGGAGCAGGAGGACTGGGATGCCAAGTTGTAAGGTTACTCATTCATCTTAAGAACCGATAATCTGACTGCGTCACTGAATTATTTGTTCTCTTTATCTAATTACGTCCTCGGCGCAAGTAACAACCATTGATTAGTTTAATTAATAGCTAGCTGGCGAACTGCTCGTATAATTGCTTATTCGTGTTTAACATGGTGAAGTTAGGTTTTTGGAAAGTGATGACATACATTCAAAATGAAAACAGAGCTGCTCTGACATAAACCATTTACTAAAATAGTTTTTAAAACTGATTTTTCCGAAGAAATTATCATAAAAATTTTACTGAAATGTTTAATTTTGATTTGCAAATACGTTTATGGAGTTATGTTCGAAGTGATATTGAAATTTAGCAAACTGCCTCTGATCGAGTAAAATTGCTCATTATATTTATTTTATGAGTACTCTAAATTTAATATAATCGTAACCATCGCGACGCATAATGCTGAATGCATTATAGACAGGCGTTAAATACCTGTCGTCGATTTGAGCGCTTAAATTGAGGACTCATAAGGCGGACATTTAAAATTTCGTTTGCATCTGTTTTATACTTTTGCGTTTAAGTTTTTTTTCTTTTTTAAATACTTTTTTGTACTTTTATACTTTTTTACGTTCAATTTAAAAAATTTTTTTCCGTCCCTTCAGTATACCATACAGTCGTTTATCGAGTTTTGCTGATAGTTAATATCTGAAGAGGAATAAATAAGCCAGTATACGTCTATGTGTGCCAATATTAGTGGATGAATTTCGGAATTTCGACATCTGAAATTTTCAGTGAAAATATTCATTATTGTTGTCGTGGAATCACAAGGCGCATAGTTTTTATTACGTGTACAATCGGTTTAAGCATTACTAAAGCATCAAAATCCTCGATTGTTTTACTTGGTTTCTTTTCGTTTATTGGTGTTATAATCGTATGTTATTGTTTACGGTTGCCTCCTTTGTATTGTGTGTGCGTTTTTTTTTTGTTGGTTAGTTGGTTGTGTTTGTATCATATAACGTAAGTTTGTTTTGAATCGTGTATGGCATATAATTGGTAATTTGTGAATGAATGCTTATTGTTTTCAAACTTATTATGATTGTTCTTGTTCAAAATTGTATCGATCATCGGTCAACTAAAAAATGTTCACCAACGTTAATGTTTGGATTTGCTTTCTGTTTTTTGGATATGTTTCGAGTGAAAAAGTTGCTTTGATTGTTTAAAATTCATTCTTGATCAGGGACATACACGTAACGTTTATGTTTCCCGTCTCCGGTTAATTCTGCTTTCATTTTTGCTGTTTTTGAAATTCTGTGTTAAATGAATTAAGTTAATGTTGTTTTTGTTGGCACTGTAGCGTTGAGTAAGCAAATTGTTTGACTTATAATGAATATCATTCATCGTTTTCATAACTGCCGTGTAAAATCGAACAATTGCAATGGGGAATGTGGCTGTTCAGGTTCTGGAAGGGGAGCAGAAAAATGAAGGTGAGGGAATCATTGCGACATAACACTTGATGAGAAAAGGGGGTATAATTAGCGAACAGTAGAGATAGAATTGAGGTAGAGTATGTGTTCACAATTATATGGTAATTATAGTCTTGGTTTTGTTTTTCTTCAAGTAGAGACTGGTCAGTTTATGTTCATTGTTTGACCACTGCATTGTCTTATATGTAGTATTTTGATTATTTACGTTGATATTCTGCAGATGAAGTTTATCTCTTTATCAGATAATTGTTGTAGGAAACTTGTGAATGTTTTGTTCTATTCTATTAAGTTTCATCGATTATTTCTTTAATCAGTGTTTATTCAGTTGCACTCACCATAACTCGGTTGATTTATGATTGTTGTTTATTTGCGTTGTCTTGCGAAGTACTTGAGTCGTGTAATTTATCATCAGTGTCTTTGGTACCCACGTTTTGCACTCGCGGAAACTAATTTCGTGTTTGTTTTTGTCAGGATTGACGGTATATAAGTTTGATTCTTGGTGGTAGTGGTTGCATTCGGACGTCTGTCCCATAAGTCGTATTTGGCTGAATTCAAAATTAAGACATATTCTTGAGCTGTGCTAGTTTGCATAACGCCTTTTTGAAGGTGTACAATTGTTGTTAAAAACGTTGGCAGATTTAATAAAATTTCTTCTGTGATTCATTTTTAGTTTTTTTTTAAACTTGTTTTTTTGCCGTACCGATCGTTTTTGATTGTCATATATAAATGATTACTCAAAGGGTACGGATTAGTAAATTCAGTCGCACATCAAAATAAACATTTTTAAGAAATTAGGATTCTGGCATGAAAAGCAGTGAGCGTCCCAGAAATACCCATGCTAAATATGAAAGGAATAATAATTTCTTTGGATTGACTAAAAACGATCCATATTTAGTGCAGATTGTTGGATATTTGAAGGTCATTTCTTTAAACTAAAGCATGGTTGAGTACGTATGTGAATTTTACTGACTGAAGGAAAGAGTTCAGTTCGGTGTTGTGAAGAAATTGTAAAGTTAATGAGCCAACTTGGACGCACATGCTGATTTAAAATGGTATTCCTGATAATCCTATGGTGAGAAAATACCTTTCAAAATCACATATATCCAAAAAAGTAAGAATTCAAAGAAGTAATCAGTCAGTTTGAATATTCAGTTCAATTGAAAACGGTACTCATGATTTTCTTATTGTAGCGCATTACTGGTTTTGAGCAATATAGATATGAAATTTGTCGAGTTTGATGGAACGATGGATTTGCTTGGCTACATAACAGTTTCTGAGAAATTCAGCTATATCTGTGGAACCAAGCACTTGGAACGTCTGCAACATGTACACCTGATTGATAGAAGAAGACCTGTTCCACTGGATAGTGCAATTTTAAAAAATACATCATTACAAAAAATGACCAAAATATCTACTTCACTGTTAACGCGAGCAACGACTAACTCGTTGACCTGTAGCATCAGCGTATCATCTTTTCCGTCAATCGCTTCTGCACATATTCGTGATGTTATTTAATGGCTGCAAATGAATGAAGACATCAGAATCTCAAGTTTATCATCATCACTATTATTTGAATGGAATTAATAAGAAAGTGCTTAAAATTCATGCCCAGAAAATGATTTCCTTCTGTGTTACTAAAACGCACGGATTTTCAACAGGATAGTTTCAGCACGCTAAGAAAGGGCATGACCTAATCTGCGTGATTTCCCCTCTTCCAATTGTTTGCAGACGTATATAGCATTTGGGTGACATGCATATGTTAATACGGAAAAAGATATAGACTTTGTAGGATAATCGCGAAACGATCAGACATAAATGTTAGAAGTTGCAAATGCAATGGAAATAAGATGTGATAAAAAATTGAACTGGCTAAGAATAATATGAAAGTGAGATTGAGCAGATATTAATCAGGAATAGCTGATATTAGACGGTTAGAGCTGCATTTTTGCTCGAATAATTGTTTATTGGATTAATATTCAACCTGTTTCGTCGAGAGGGAAAATAGTCGTTTCGTTTAGTTTTGTCCCGTCCTTTATTATCATTATTATAATATTTTGCGATTGACTGCATTTGCATTGGCATTCTATTACTTGGATTGGTGGATGAGACACGAGAGTACTTGTGTTATAAAGTGTGATTATTGTTGCTTGATGAATGCTTTGTGTTTGTTTGCTTCTTTATGCCATGGTATATGAAGGAAGCATGAATGCTAAATATGGCAGCAGTATTGAATATCGACCAACCGAACGACCGACTTCTCCATTACGTTGGTTGAACACAATTTGGGCAGTCCAACCAACCAACGAAGATCTATGCCCAGTCGTGAGCGTCCATCAGTTAGTAAGCCAGCCAACAGAATGGGAAGCTCGCTGTCCTGCGGGTGCGACTCACGGCATTGCTTGCTAGATGCTTCATACCCACACCATCATCAACACCAACAAAAACAACAACAAGCCTCCTCGTTATTCAGGTCGGCTCATCCTTCCCCTCCCTTATTTTCTATTTGCCACCCACCCTTCTTCTCATCCCCGTTTATCCGATCCAGCCATCCATCCGTGCATCCATCTATCCACCCAGCCAGCCATCCATTCATCCATTTGTTCTTTTTCCATGCACTAATCACTTCTCTAGCATCTTACCACCACCCTCAATTGATTTTCAATTAGCCGTCTCCCTCTTACTACTGCTGTCCTCACTCAACTTAAATGCGTTTATGTGTCTACTTTAACACATTTACATGTATCACTGTGCATTTATTTATTTGCACACGTTCCACTCATACATATATCCATCCCACCAGCCAATCATCCATTCAAAATCATAAATTATTATTATGTTTGCTCTCAGATTTTGGGCCGAACTCTTCCAGTTATCGTCAGATCGTTCACAATGGACGATTCTCTATCCATCGTTACTGTCCGTTACAGTAACCGAAGTATCACGCAAACGACACACCGTTCACGTAACGGCGACATGTGATTCACGTGTTATTGTTGATCATATTCTTGATTCTTGTGAGTTATGCTTTTCAAGTAGTTTGTTTTGTTTGTTTTTCGATACTGCTATTGTACTTCTTGCTCCGCAACAATGAACCAACAACATTCAGTATGAAAGTTCCGTGGAATCAGCTACAGTGAAGTTAATTAAATTACACCCTCTTAAGCAGTCGGTTGAAAATTTTGTTCTGATGAAAACATTTTTTGTTGCACGGTTGGTTTTTATCATTATCGCCATTCCGATTACCCACATATTCACTTCTTGCATTCGAAGAATTGACTGCCATGAAACAGATAAATCAACCTATATCCTCTCTGATTTCTATCAGTTTGTTGCCCAGATGCATCATCAGTCATGTCATCAGTTCTGCACTCATCAATTATTCAAAACCGCATTCATAACTCAACAAGCGTCACGTGCTGCTAGCAAATTTACAAAGAATGATCTAAGTCTTTGAAACAAAACGCGTTAAGTACCGAAAATAATAAAAAATAGTTGACAAGTTTTGCTAAAACTGCGAAAAGTTTCATTTCAATAGGCCATTTAGGTAGATGCGATCTACTTCTGTCATAACTTAGTTTTATCTTTGCAAAAACTTAATGAGAATCTGCTTAACGATAAACCTATTTTCAAGAAGTATAATCGATATTCGTGTTAATCTAAACTGCTTACTGATGCATTTGTTTGATGAGTATAAATCTCAAGGTGAATTTAGTGAGGGTGATCAATGCATTGTCTCGCATTATTTAATACATAATCACTCATTTCATTAAGAAACTTTCAAAGTATCATTTAATTTTGATTTCATTTCAATCTGAATGAATAATATTGCTATTGATTTGCTTATTGTAGCCAGTCAAGTGACACGAGTTTCATCATGTTTCGCTTACTGGCGTCACCAGGGCGAAACGTTCGGTGTGAATGTGGTCAGTGCTGAGGATTGTGATCGATTTTGTGAGCTTTCGATGGATTCGAATCGTTTCATAAAGTTCGCTTCAACTTCACAACAAACGTCGTCATTTCATGTTGTTGCTGCTAAATTGTCACAGATATTCGAGGTTCAAAAGGGTGTGATAAAGCACATACAAACATCGTTCACTGACTGTGTGATCAGATTATCGAATAATACGGCCGTTGTTCGAGTCAATGGAAAAGATTTCTCGCTGAATTTGGTATGTAATCAACATTTGATTTCATTTCTGCACAAAACTGAGAATTTCAATTGCTACCGCAACTTTTTTTCAAAACGATATCGCTGACGATGAGATCTGAAACATAAAATTAGCCACTTAAACGAATTTATCATTCCGTATTCACCAATAATTTTGAAATCTCATCGTTTGCTATTTGCATCAGTTCTTTTTGATTCACTCTTAACATAAACCTTTTTGTTTTCTGGGAGTAATTTTGCTGCTGTCCAACTCGTGAATAAGTTTCTCATATTGAATGGTAAATGTGAGCACGAGAAGGTGGTTTGTTTGCATTACTGCATTGCGCAGTATTGAATAACGATCTTCTTTAATTATGAATGCATTTTCTTAACTGCTATCAGCATCACAAGGAAATGAGTCTCACGAATATTGGAATGGGTAGATAGAGCTGGTGAGATAGATAGATGTTCAATTAAACTATCATCAAAATTGCATTTGTTCATTCAGTCTATTTTGACTAACGCTCATCGTTAATTGATCGATAATGAGCATATTTCATTGTATTTGTTTATGCTTAAGTAAGTCATTTTACAATCATGATAAAAATGTGAAATCATTATTATGGTTCGTGTAATACTCATTAATAGGATGCTTTGTACGATGCTTTTTCAAATGTTTAGCTTAACACAACTTTTTCAAATCGAATCATTTATCGCTGGGTTGCCGATCGCCCTACATCTATCGTTTCACATTGTGCGAGAAAACTAGCATCTCATAACGACGAATATTACAACAGTCGAAGTGCGCATCCTTGTTGCATTGCATATAATGTTTTTGAACGCGGATTATGGGGACTAGCTGATTCTATTTTGATCTGTAGTACTGAGTTTAGTTTATGCATTCATTAGAAAGCAATCAATTTTTGAAATTCCTAATCATTGGTTGAACCAAAATGAACTGTATTAATGTTTGCGTGAGCCGGGATTTGACATTCAATGCGGTGGTCATAAATAATGTGATGAATGCTGTTCGAAGATTGCCTTGGTTTACTGATTTATTCAAGCCAATTTTAATGGTGACTGGGTGGGTTATTTACTAATAGAGTGTCGATTTTGCATGTAAGGGTCATCATCTTAATTAAGTGCGATTGTAATTGATGAGCATTGATGAATACGAGATGGATAAGATGGATATATATACATATATATATATATATATATATA